TTTCATAATTAGAAAATTAGTAGACAAAATAAGAAAAGAAAAAAATTATAGTTACAAAGATGCCATTAGTTGCTTATGATACGTTTCTTTCTTTTATATATAAAGATTTTTCCCGTGGGTACGGTGCAGTTTTTTATAAGTGAAAATTAGAAATTAGTCGATAAAAAAAAACACAATAAAATAAAAGTACAAATATGCCATTAAAAGAGAAAGCGATAAAATAAAAAAAAACACAATAAAATAAGAGTACAAATATACCATTAAAAGAGAAAGCGAAATAACAAAGAAAATAAGTACGAAAAAAGTAAACTATAAATTATAAAATTAGTAGGGAAAAAAATAATGAAATAAAAAATAATAATAAAAAAGATAGAGAAAAAAATCAAAAGTAATTACGAAGATGACATTAGAGTTGTTTAGGGTTGTCTTAGCGTTAACTCCTTTTATATATAAAATTATTATTATTATTACTATTTGTTTTTTTTTTAATATTTTTTTGGTTCTTTGCTCCTTATTATTACTATTGTAATATTCACTAACAAATATTTTTTTTCTTTAAATGTCACCAGATTAATATTTAGTAGAATTTACTCCAAAAAATATAATAAGGACAAATTTGGAAGATAATTTTCTACTATTGGAGTTTTTAATCTTTCATAAGCCATTCTATACGATGTTTGTTAGTGGATCTATAGTGTATCTAAGATGTGCCATTGCACATCCTTTTAATTTAAAATCTTGTTTTGGAACAAAATTAAATTCTGAATGAATTGGGTTATTAGAAGAGAGTTTAACGAAAATGGATACCAGTAGTTATACGACACATGGAGATGATAAATGAAAAACAGTCGATATAGTTTACATGTGCTCTATAAAAGCATATTCGTCTTTTCAATCGAAAATGAACACTTGCATTTCACATGGGCTCTATAAGAGTATATTCGTCTTTTCAATTCAAAACAGCCAAGGCAAATAATGATAGATACTATAGTTTAATTCTAAAATTTTAATCTCATTGTATTGGAAAAATTGATATAAATTTATTTTCAACTATTGAACTTAGGTCTTAACATTTTAAGCATAAAACTCTTGTAGTTCGGTCTTGAAAACTTCTATAACATTAACATTTACCTTTTTTCGGTAATGCAAGATCATTTTCTTTTCTTTTTTTAACACTATCATTTTTCCCCTTGCGATACACATGATATCATTTGAAAATTAAAACAATTATTAATTTAATAAAAAAATAAAATAAAATTTATTAATAATATCTGTAACAACATTAACATTTATAAATCAAATAATACAAACTCATTCCAAAAAAATATATACACACTTAATTTTCATAATATGAAATTGATTATTAAATAAATGAAGCAAAGAAAAGTTATAAAAAATAGGCTGGAAAGTTGGAGATAAAAATAACAGTAACAAATAAAGGTAGTGGATTAAGATTGTACTAGCCGAAATTTGGTGTGAAAGTAATTAGAAAGAAAATAGACTGAATAGAGATACAATAAATATAGATATATATGGGGTCATTAACAATAAGCCCCTTCATTCAGGAAGTTTTCTTTTCTATTATTTCATTTTCACCCCAAGTTGGGGCTGTTGTGTAATATTCTTAATAGGGTTTCATCTTATTTTTAACTTTGTTTCCTTTAACCCTACACATTTACGACAATGTTGAGATGTGTGGCTGCGTACAATATACATGTGCACATTAATTAATTTTAGGATAGTTCAACTTTCCCCCCTTATACTTTGATTCGATATTACTTTACCCCATACTATTCTCAATAACATCGATTTGTCCTCTTGTACTTTGGCTCGATATCACTTTACCCCTTTCTACTCTCAATTGCATAGATTTGTCCCCTTGTACTTTGGCTCGATATCACTTTACCCCCTTCTACTCTCAATTCATCGATTTGCCCCCTTGTACTTTGATTCGGTATCACTTTACCCCATTCTACTCTCAATTGCATCGATTTGCCCCCCTGTACTTGAAAAATTATCTCAATGTGGCCCTCGTCGTTAGTTTTCAGACATTTGACCTTAACACCGTTTGATCTAAGTTTGAAAATTACTAAAAAGTCACCCCTCCCAGTATAAATAATTATTAAAAAAATTAAAAAAAAAATAATAATAAAGCAAAAAAGAAAATAATAAAAAAAAAAATCAAGACAATGAGTAAACATATTCCACGACGCCAGCCACAATTTATTTTTTAATTTTTTTAATTTTTTTTAATAATTATTTAAACTGGGAGGGATGGCTTTTTTGTAATTTTGAATCTTAGATCAAACGGTGTTAAGATCAAAGGTGCGAAAACTAACGGCGACGCACACATTGAGACAATTTTTCAAGTACGGGGGGCAAATCGATGCAATTGAAAGTAGAATGGGGTAAAGTGATATCGAGCCAAAGTACAACGGGGAAAATCGATGCAATTGTGAGTAGCAGTGGGTAAAGTGTTATCGAGTCAAAGTACAAGAGGACAAATCGATGCAATTGAGAGTAGTAGGGGTATACTGATATCGAGCCAAAGTATAAGGGGAAAGTGGAATTTATCCTTAATTTTAAGGTACTTTACAATTGTCGCTTCTATTAAAATATTATATTTTAATTAATAATTACTCATTCACATAAAATAAAAATAAAAAGGTCCCGACATATATATTGAGGTGTGTGGCTGCTATCGCCTGTTGGTGGAGAGAAAAAATGATCTAGAGTTTCATCAGACATCAATGACAGAGCTAAAGGGGGGGCCAGGCCCCCCAACATTTTTCAAATTATTATAAGATTATATACAAGTATATGAGGTGTTAGCATAGACCCATGTAATCTCTAATTGTCCCAAAAATCTTTGTTAAAAAAACTAACGAAAACCCTCCTATGTCGTGTTTTGTGATGCACACCGGTTCTTGCATCAAAATTACGTATTTATTATTAATTATGTCTGTTAACTTTCATGAAAAGACGAATTTAGAGAGAAGAATGTATTAGCGTATATATTATATTATTATTTATTATAGTTACCTTGTGTAATAGACGTAATATATAATATATACGCAAATAGAATGAGTTGAAATGTACTTTAAAAACCAATCATCTTAACCCTCCTTCTTCGGTGTCGAAGAGTCGCCAGAGTTTTGCCTTCATGGAGAAGCCGCGACCGAAACTAAAGGGCTGATGACCCGTTGCCCTATAAAAAAATTGCTAAACAGTCCCTGACTTAAAGGAGAAGAGGGCTTTTCTGAAATTGAAGGGGACTAAATTGAAAATTTTGAAAACTTCATTTTGGGGCTTGTTTTCCAAAAAATTAAATTAAAACATATTTGAGTCTTTTTAGGCCAAAAAACAACCCAAATCGCATATTTCGCGAGTGTACGACACCATCAACTCGGATGGGCATTATTGCCTTAGACTAATTTTAATAAGGGGTTCTTGCTAATTGTTTTAAAATAGAGACTTTTATGGCAATTAGAGATTACACATGGGTGGTTAGTGCTAAAAGCTCAAAAATATATATAAAAACAATCATGTATAATAGCATTAACGGCCCGGCCCCTCTAGAGAAATATATATAATTTGGATTTAAAATGCATATCAAGCGCACGCATGAGATTCGAACTCAGGGTATATCTTTCATTAGGTATGACTCTAATGCCATGTTGAATGACCAGTTCAACCAAAAATTTATGTTTTTAGTGAAATCTGAAATGTATCATTTAATTAGGGCTGGGACTGGGTTGGTTTTTATCCACCAACCGACCCATTACCGACCATATATTTAGGTGGATAATCAATTTTAACCGACCCATTGGATCGGGTCGAAAATTTCAACCAACCCATCTATAATGGGTCAGTTGGTGGTTTCTAATATTATCAAAAGTCGGTTGACCGATAATTATCGGTTATCCAACTATACTCTTAAAATTTTATTAAAAGTATAAAATAAAGGTCGTGTTTTCTTAAGTGGTTACTGAAATTATCAAAATAAGTAGTATTTTAAATTTTAAAACAATCAACAATGAAAAAAAAATTGACCTAAATCTTCAACCATTCTCTTTATGCCCAAGTTTAAACAAAAAGCCCACAAAACTCCACTAAATCTCTTGTGCATGTTTGAAATTACATTGAATTTCCTAATTATATTTTTTCGTTGAATTGTTATTAATTATTTTGAACTGATAAATGATGATCGCACCGTGACATTACACAAAATGTGGATATTTTTATTCCAAAATTTGAAATTTTTTTAAGTGAACTAGGTGGCGGGTATAAACCATCAACCGACCCATTTCGGAACCAAATATTCGGTTGCCAACCATCAACCGACCTACAAAGGTTGGGTCGGCAACGGTTTTCAAATTTGAGCAAAAATGGTTTGACGGATGAGTCGGTTTTTAGACTGGTAATCGACCGACCCAACCCAGTCCCAACCCTACATTTAATATTAATATCTCCAACATTAATAGTAATTACTATGGCCAAATTTATATGGGTTCCCACTTACACGTGGAATTTGGACAAGGGAGCAAGTAGAGGCATGGAAGCCAATTGTAGATGCAATACATGAAAAAGGTGCCATCTTTTTTCTTGCAAATGTGGCATGCTGGCCGTGCAATTACAAATGGTATAAGAAATTAAACATTATTCAAGTTTTATTTTATTTTAATTTGCAAGAAAACTCATTTTCGAAAAGCTTATTGTGTATACATGCTTCTAAAATGATGTTTAACTTGGTTTTTATTTGGCTGTCAGGTTAAACTCCAATCTCATCATTTATCCCCTGGTGGTGATGGTCGAGAGTGGGCCCCACCTAGGCGACTGAGGAAGGATCGCTCTCGTAATGCTATCGAAGCAAGTTTTGTTACTTATGTCCTCTATTTTCTAATTATATGTGTTCGTTAAGCTTTTAATTTCATTTATTTAGAGTTGACGTTTGAAAAATCCTTAAATAATCTCCAACCCCCCCCTCCCTTTGGACTTAGGATTTGATGGAGTTGAGATACGCGGAGCAAATGGATATTTAATCGAACAATCCTTCAAAGATCAAGTCAAAGACAAGACCGACGAATATGGCGAGGGCTTAGAAAATCGGTGTGGATTTGCACTGGAAATAGTGGAAGCAGTGGCCAATGAGATCGGCTCAAATAGGGGTAGGCTTAGACTATCTCCATACGCAAATTTATCGGAGTCAGTCGACTCGGATCCGGATGCATTAGGCCTTTACATGGCCAGCGCACTTAATAAGTGACATTTGCTATTGGGGTCATTAACAATAAGCCACTCGTATGGCTAAGAAATGGTGATATTTCCACCCTTAAATTTTTCTTTGTGATAATCCCCTAAATTTTGTATTCCTAATACTACCCTTATGTTAATTTGTCTAATAATTATTCCAAATATTCATTTTATTTCTAAAAATCTGCTACCAAACAAAAAAAAATTATTTTTTTAATTATTTTTATTTTACATTTTTTTAATTATTAATATTTTTTAATTAAAATATATTTTTTAATTTTTTTTGAACAAAAAATTGATAATTTTTTTCGCGACAAGTTTACTACGCTGAATATGACTATATGTGACTATATCAATTGTAGTCATATTTTTTTTATATATTGCAGCTTTTTACATTTTCAACTTAAAAACTCCAATTATATAGTGTAGTACAATTATATGTACCAAATTATATAAAACAACGGAGATTGCCTATTGTTTATGAAAACAATCCAATCAACATCCACACAAAATTGTTGTTATTACAAGTCATCTTGAAACGAGAAGATGGAACATATTCGAATATAACTACAGTCATTTTCAAACTGTAGTTATTCGAATATGACTATAGTCATGTTACTGCTGCTAGTTCAGATCTGGAAAAAAAAATATTCGAATATGACTATAGTCATGTTACTACTGCTAATTCAGATCTGAAGGGAAAAAAAATCAAAAAATACATAATAAAGAGATAGAAATATAACGAAAGAGAGGGAGGGGGAGTCGACGACAACGGTGGTGGCTGCTGTGAAGGAAAGAGAGAGTGAGAGAGGCGACGACGGTGGTGATGGACAGATTTGAAAAAAAAACTAAGAAATCGATAGAGATAACGAAAAGGGGGAATCTCCACGTAAAAAAACACGCATCCGACGGAGGGCGGCGACGAGGTGGGGGAGGCGTCACCGTCACTTGTACCAGGCATCGATGTGGTGGTGTTGGACGAGGGGGGAGACGATCTCCAATATCGGCGAAGAAGGGCCTTCTGCAACGAGTTTCGGCCGGTGGCGTTTGAAGGCTATTGTTGGTTCCGGCGGCGACAAGTGCACGAACAACGCTGGCATCTCCGAGACGGACGGTTAGGTGTAGTGGTGTGAGCGGCTGTGGTCGGTGGCTAGGGTGAGCGGACTACGGAGATGATGTGAAAAAGAAGGAGGAGGACGTTGATGGCGGTTTAGATCTGAAGAAAAAAAAAACAGAAATTGTGAACAAGAGAGATATACAAGAGTGAGAAATAAAATTGTATCACGTTAAAAACCTAACACATATGCTCACTTTCGTTTTATCTTGTCTGGTCAGGGGTTCTCACTAATTCAAATTGGGATTTGGGCTATGGAAAAAATCTTTAAAATCAACTGGGATTAATTCAAAATATTTTCTAAATGAGAGTATTGCATATTACTCCTATATATATATATATATATATATATATATATATATATATATATATATATATACACATAAATTAATTGTTTTTACAAATATGTCATTAGTTATTTCTTAGATTATCGTAAGGCCGCCGTATATTATTTAATTTAGTAATGTCGGTTGATATATGCAAGCCCATTTTTTTATTAGTTCAAGACCTTCAACATAAAGATACCAATTTACCCGTAATGAAATTCAAAACCAAATAAAAAACACGAAACATTAAAAAAATATATATATCGGCGTTACAAAGCCGATTTTGATTTGTAAAGTCGACGTTGTGTCTCCGATTTGGTTAACAAAAATCGGCACTATGATGTCGATTTTCGTGTACAAAATCGGTCTGAGTAAACCGATTTGGGAAACCAACGAAAACACACACAAAAATCAATTTCAATCTCAATTTATTTCCAAAATCGGCTAAAGCATTGCAATCCAACAAGAAGTAAGCATAGGTTAGTGTTCATGCACGCATATTAATCAAGAATCGATGCTCGATTAATGTTTTCGAATTTACAAACAAAAGTTTAGTAAAAATGACTTACTTGTTGGTGGTGGTGCGGTGGGTGGGTGGGTCGCTGGTCGTCGCCGGCGTGGTGGAAGTCTCGCTGGTCGGCGTCGCGGCAGTCGTGAGGTTTTTTTTTCTTTAGTCTTGAACAAATAAAAAATAGCGTTTGTTTATATTTGGGTATTATTTGTTGATAAGGGCATATTCATCCTCTTTGGTCTTGATGTAATAAAATTCGATTAATTTACGGGTTTTAACTAATAAATCCCTTTTATGTGGATTTTAACTAATACAAAAATGGGCTTCTATATATTTGCCTCATTTATTAATATCTATATTGATTTAGAAAAACAATAGAAAATCTTGCCATTTTACTCGTAAGTCGTGCTTCTTTTCTTAATCTAAAGTTGCAACTCGAATCTTGAACTCACCCCACTCATCCCCTCCTACAAATAATAAATTAAAAAAATAAATAAAAAGAAAATAGCACTCTCTCTTTCGTTTTCCCTCCTTCAATCAGTACTGAAGAATCAACAAAAAAAAGGTGACCGTTATACCCTGTAATCTCTTTAATTTTTCATGTATAATTTTATTTATTTTGAGGACGACGCCGTATCAATTGTTGGTGTTCGGTTTTCAGTTCTCGTTTCTCATGTGAAATAAACAAATTGGAGAAATTTGCTAATCATAATTTTATTAAAAAACAAAATTAAATTGAGTTTCGTGGTGGTTTATTGCCTGGGCTGTTGGATTTAATTATGTTGTTTTTTATGTGAAGAGGTAATGACCTAATTTTTTTAATTTGGGCGAATAATTGTTACTGTAATAATCACTTCGTTTTATATGAATTTCAGTTAATTAATGTGTATAGGAATCCGATTACGAGCTTTCGTAACTAGGGAAAATGGCGATTTTGTTTGGTATTAGCCAACTTTGTCTACTGAATTTGTATGAATTTGTATACAGTAGAACCTCGATAAATTAATAATCTCGCTTAAATAATAGTTTCTTCTGTTCCCGACTTAGTAAAACCCTACTACATTATTAGTTCGATAATTTAATATTTCGCTAAATTAATAGAATTTTGTTAGTCCCGAATGTGTTAATTTATAGAGATTTAACTGTATGATATATATTTTTAGCTTGTAGAACACTGTAATTATAACCTAGTGGTGGAGTGTATATGAATTCGGATATCAAGAACACGTAATCGTTGGTTCTATAGTGCTTTCATTTTGCACCTTAACACTTGAACACATTGCATCCAATATTCAGTTTTGTTTTTTTCACTCGGTATCGTTTGCCGATTAATGCTAAGTAAAACTCTAATACATTTTAGAAAACACGAGGTTAGTGCAAAGGGAGAAGAAGTGCAAGGATGAAATCCCACTCTCCGTGGGGCACAGCAAAGAATCCCGTCAAGTTTCGGATGTAATTAAATGCCTCTCTTTCTCTCTCTCAATATAAATATTTAGCAACATAATTTTTGCTTTCTATTTGGATATTAATATTTCTGATGTGCAGACCCACTGCGGAGAATCTCGTTCCGATACGCTTAGATATTGAAATCGACGGGCAGAGATTTAGAGATGCTTTCACCTGGAATCCATCTGGTAAATTTTCATTTTTTTAGGGTAAATTACAACCACCTCCCTGACGTATGGTCAATTTACGAAAAAACCCCTCTTGTTTGGATAATTACATCTACCCCTCAACTATGATTTTTTCTTACTGCCTCCACCCTTATGGTGTCAAATTCAACATAATCATCTAAATTTCGTGGAATGTGCTCTAGTTTGTACTCGTTTTGTGTAAAAATACAGTTTATGATGCACCACTGATATATACAAGCCAAAAAACACACATTATGATCATCTTGCTTCAAAATGTGGAGTTCGAATTGGATAAAACGGGTACTAAAGGGATAATATTCCATATAATCTCGAAGATTCCACTAAATTTGAGACCGTAAGGGTGGACGTGTAAGAAGATTTATAGTTGAGGGGTGGTTGTAATTACCCAAACATGAGGGGGGTTTTCGTAAGACCCATACCTCAGGGGTGGTTGTAATTTACCCTTTTTTTTATTTTTAATTTTTTTTTTGCTCATTTAAATTGACTTTATTTGTGTGATTCTTGATGTTATGAAATCCGAGCGCTAAACGAGTGTTTTGTCGATGTAGATCCTGATTCTGAAGTGGCTCTGTTTGCAAAAAGAACAGCTAAAGACTCGAAGCTTCCTCCTGCTTTTATCACACAGATCGCTCAATCCATACAAGTATTGTATCTATACCCATTCCTTGTATACACTCATTTCACGTGCTATATTATCGTGATTAATCACATGCTCTGTGGCACGCTAAGAAATTAGAATGTAAGGATAATTTGCTGCATGTAAAAATTACGTAATAAGTTTCCATGTCGTATCGGAATTGCTGTATAAGTACTGTATGGTCTTTTCTTCGTTAGATGACCTTTTCTAAGTCGGGTGATGAGATACAAATATAGATAATTTTAGTATGATGTTTAAAGTTTATAATTATATACTTCACCGATGCATATTTTGTTGATTCTTGATTCAAATGGCAATATTGTAGACACAGCTAACCGACTTTCGATCGTACGAAGGGCAAGATATGTATACTGGCGAAAAGATTGTTCCCATCAAGGTTTTGGTGTTTGCAATTTTTTTTTTTTTTTGCTTACATTCGTTTCCTTTTTCACCGTTTGTGTTGTTAACAAAGCAAAAATTGTCGGTGGTGATTTTTCTTCTCTTTTTCTTGATTCAGCTTGATCTCCGTGTTAACCATACGCTTATCAAAGACAACTTTTTATGGGTAAAGAACATCAAATATCTATTATTTTTTGTAAAAAAAAATTCAAGGTTTTTTTTATTGATGAGTATGTAAATACAAAAATTTCAGGATTTGAACAACTTTGAGAGCGACCCCGAAGAATTTGCCAAAACGTTTTGCAAAGACATGGGCATTGTCGATCCCGAAGTTGGAGTAAGCACTGTCAATTCCACTTCTATTTTATTCTTATTTTTTTGTCAATTGCGTTTTATATATTTTGCATATGTATTTAAAAGCTTATAATTGAGTGATGCTATAAGTAGGAGAGTCACGGCAGCAACATTAGAACTTGGTTTCTGCAAATTTTTCGTAAATAAAATTATCTGTTGCAATTTTTCATATGTAATTAAATGTATTAATCTGTTTTTTTTCGGGGGTTTTGTTTTGGATGTTCTTGAATGATATATATTTAGGCCTTGTTTGGTTGGGGAGATTAGCCATTATTAACTAAATAATTGGACTTTGTTTGATGTTTGGTATCCCTAATAACTTGGCGGGTCGACCTGCGCGAATATTATGTTATCATTGTTTATCTTGCCTTCTAAGCATGTTATTTATTGGATATTCCAAGGTCCAATAATACAGTTGGATCTTATTATATTATTTAATCTTATCTTGGCTAATGTTATCATGGCAACCAAACGAGGCCTTATATTAGCACAGTAGTTAGAAAATGCAATGATTGTGTTATATAGCGGTTTCTGATGTATTTGAGAGAAGAATGAACAAACATAATCTAATTCAGGGGAAGGAAAACAAAGTAATTAGAATACGGTGATATATTTTTAGATTTATTTTTGCCCCGTAATTGGTCCATGTGTATATTTATTTGGAATTTGGTATTTTAAGATGAAACATGTTTTGCGATGATTTGGTTCTACGTTTGCACTTGCATTTGAATTATATAAGCACTTCTACTGCACGTATTCTAATCCAGCATCGATTTTGCAGCCTGCTATTGCAATTTCCATTCGAGAACAACTTTATGAGGTGAGTCGATTTTATGAGATAATTTTATTACTGTATTATGAAAGTTCACAATATTTTTTTGGTTTCATGATTTTTTTTAGATTGCTGTGCAAAATGTGACGTCAGCTCGCGAAAGCAGAATGAACAAGAAAGGGCGCAGAGGGCTCGAACATATCCAAGCCAGGTATTTAAAATAAAAATCTTTTTTTTTTTACTTTACATTTAAACCGAGAAGCCTAAGTATTACGCGGAAAAAGATCAATTTAATTTGTTTCTTCACACAGCAAGAACGCAGGGAATGCTGTGGACTTATTCAAGTTATTTGGTAATAAATCGAGTGTCGTTCGGTAAGGACCAAATTCCCATTCTTTAGAGGAAATATAATGTCTCCAAATAAATAATTTACAAACTTCAAATTTCTTACAATTACGTATCTGTCTCGTTTCTTGATTTTATTACAACACAACCATGATTAAACCCGATTCATTGTTTTTGTCCTACTTTAGAAAGAGGAAAGAGTGGGATGTATATGAACCCATTGTTGATCTATTGTCGAACGAGGAAGTGGACGCTCTCGAAGCTAAAGAAGAAAGGATGGCAAAATAGTTATTTATTAGTTATTACAGTGTATATTTATTGCAGTTGCTTAGGATATTGGCGCCATCTTATGTTTAAAACAAAGAACCTCCTTGCACTTCGGCACTAGATAAATGCAGAACGAGTTTTAGCAAATACTAGACTTTTTTTTTTTTTTTAATTTTAAACTTTTAACTATTAACCACCCACTCCAATTAATTTAACCTCGTAATATTTTTTCATCGAATGAAAAGAATTTATTCAAGGCGATCGATAATCTACACACACTTTATTTGTTGATTTCTACAAGCATCAAGATTCAAAAGGAATTTTTACATCTGAATCTTGAACACAAAAAAAAAAGGAATTAAAACTTCAAAATATCGTGTATTATTTTACTCAAACTACAATTCAACTCGACAACGCACGATTCTAACTATAAGCATCAGTAATCAAATTTACGACATATATTTATGGTTTCAATATTATTATTGAGTTTAAAAACAGGTCGGGTTTTTTTAAATATTTTTAAGAACTACCCAAAACTCGTTTTAGATTACTTGCATTGGGATTTCCAAACTTCAATTTTTTCGTCTCAAATTACAAAAACTCGATTGGGACTCGATGTCCTTAAATACTAACCTTGAATGTCAAGTAGAAGTAAAAATAAAAATATTGGATATATAAGTGATCTAATAGGTGAGAGAAAACAACATGAAGTCAAATTACCTGAGTTCAGAAAAAAATCATATTCTCTAGATCGAATTTGTTACGTATGGTCTATATCGAATTCAACTCACATCTCTTGTTTTATATTCACAATAAAATTAATTTAAACATTTTTAAATAAAATATTATTCATCTATATTAATTAAACATTTCGAGAGTAACTAATTTTCATCTATATAGTGTTATTTATTATTTTTCATTATTTGACATCTAATATATATCACTCATTTTTTGAAATTTTATTTTACTTCAATTACACCACCTATGTTTTGTTAACAAAAATCTACATCACAAGACTTTTCTATTACACGATTGGCGGCCGTTATATGCAAGCCCATTTTTTTATTAGTTCAAAACCATATAAAAGAGTTTATTAGTTCAAGTCCGCAAATTAATCTAATTTTATTACATCAAGACCAAAGATGACAAATATACTCTTATCCACAAATAATACTCAAATACAAATAAATCTTATTTTTAATTTGTTCAAGACCAAAAATCAAAAAAAAAAAAAAAATATATCACGACTCCCAACCAGCGAGACTTTCACCGCACCGACTATGACCAGCGACCCACCCACTGCACCATTACCACCACCAACAAGTAAGTCCATTTTACTAAACTTTTGTTTGTAAATTCGAAAACATTAATCGAGCATCGATGTCCTTTTTACTAAATTTTTATTTGTAAATTCGAAAACATTAATCGAACATCGATTCTTGATAAATATGTACGAATGAACATTAATCTATGCTTATTTCTTGTTGGGTTGCAATGATTTGGCCGATTTTGGTAAAAAAAATTGAGATTGAAATTGTTTTTTTTATTTTTTTTCGTTGGTTTCCGAAATCGGTTTATCCAGACCGATTTTGTACACGAAAATCGTCGACATAATACCGATTTTTGTTAACCAAATCGGCGACACAACGCCGACTTTTCAAGTCAAAATCGGCGTTCTAATGTCGATTATTGAGTACAAAATCGGTTTTCGAATACCGATATTTTTTGATTTTTTTTTAAATAATACATTATATATTTGGTTAATTGATATTTTTTAAATATTTGGAACGAAAATGTTTATCACCATTCGGTGGCGTCTACCACGCCTTTAACCCAATCGAGTAGAGCTTTCCGTATCTCAAATATTTATTCGTTAGATAATTCATTTGAAATTTGAATAATCCTCCATCAATCCCCTAGGTTGATGCACGAAAGTATGAGAAAACGGTCTTAAAAAAACACAGATAATAAAATCGGTATTGAAAAACCGATTTTTGTAGTACAAGTCGGCATGACAATACCGATAATACAAAAACAAATCGGTGTTGTCATGCCGATTTTTACTACAAAAATCGGTGTTTAAGTACCGATTTTTATTAAAATAATCGAAATGTGGTTACCGACTTTAGTAACAAAAATCGGTATTTGCAAACCGATTTTTTGTATCGTCGAATTTTTTTCCCAACAAAAAAAAAAACGACCCAAAAGCAAAAATAAAGGGTTAAAACATATTTCATTGTGTTCTCCACCCTCGTAAACCACCATATCATTGTTTTCTGGTTCCATCGTGAATGTTTGGTATGTATTTGATAATTTTGGTGTATAGGATTTCTTTGTGGGTTTGTGAAGAAGAAGGAGAAGAAGAAGGAGAGTTTTAAGTCGTGAAATAAGGAAGAGGGGTTTCTGGATTTATGTATTTTATTTGGTCTTGCACAAAGGAAATGATTTCTTCTTATTTTTTAATGTTTTGTATTTTTTATTTAATTTTAAATTTCATTAAGGATAAATTAATATTTTTATATTGAAGGTTTTGAATTAATAAGAAAATGGGCTTGCATATAACGGCCGCCTACACGATTTCGTATCTTTTATTTTTTTTTATTAAGGAAAAAACCATTTTAAAAGTCATTACACATTATCAGATTAAATTTAATATTTATATATTAAATAAATTTATACGAAATAAAAATCTTTAATTAAAATAATAAATACTTGCGACAACCATTACCTTACCTACCTATGAAGACAAGATATGGAAACACACGAAAGCGACGATTATTGCAATTTGCAGAGCATAAGAAAAAATTAAATTCATAAGGTTTTAGAGAGAGAGAATTCCAGAGAGAGAAATGAGGGAGATCTCGAGAATTTCTGGACGATTGCGCCTCGCGGCCTTCATTTCTTCAATTTCTCTGCTTTTAATTTCAGGTTCTTCCCCTTAGATCGTCGTTTTCATTGTTTAATTTTGCAATTAATACGTTATGTTATGACCATACGTATCTTTTTTTTTCTCTGTTTTTTGGGGAAGTTGAATTTTGTTGATGCGCGAATTGATTTCTGTGTTTAATTGTGGGTTTGGGGGTTTGAATTGATGTGATCTCGCTTCAAATCGAAGTTTCTGATATTTTTGTTAAGAAGAAGAATAAATTGCAGAGACTGTAAGGAATTGAGGCCAGAAAATCAACAAGTAGTTGTTGAAATGTAATTTTGTTCTTCAATGTTTGTGTAGAAGCTGATTGGAAACAAGTGAAATTAAAACGGAAAATATCGACAAATGGGAAAATTTCCGACAGTAAACTTTTGTTGGTTATGATAGTTTTGTTCTTCAATAGGGTAATTGAGAACAAAGGAGAATTCAAAACTGTGGATAGATGGAGACTTATATCACAATTAATTTTCCATTTGATTTTTTTGTCGTTGATTTTGTGCATTGTTTCATAGTTAAATAATTCCGATGGATGCTTTCCCCACAAAATTAACCATTATACCACATTTTGATGCCTATGCATGTGTTTTATATTCTTCTTCACTTTGACCACTTTTACATTTCGAGTGCAAGTAACGGTTAGCATACTAGTGGTTATAGTTTAAAATTTAGTATAGATGCTCTAACGAATTTACGAGGAAATCTACTACTCACCGATTTACAAGTTGACTTTTAGCCAAGACTTGGCAGGGATCTATTTGTTTTTTTTATTTGGCCATAATTATATGTAGAAATCCTTGCGGGACCAGTTTGATCATTGGAGACTTATCAGATTCTCCAATTATTTTTCTTCCATCTTATTAGAAATGATATGCAAAAGGTAACATACATGAATAGAATGAACATAGTTAAAGAATAATGTTGGAATGAGATTAGTGTACCAAATTTCACGTTTGCCATTTTGAAAAATATAGTGAATTGTGGAAATTAGATTTGCAGACTTGATTCGTTCCTTATTTGGTGTGCAAGTTAAGTAGTTGTTGGATGATAGTTGCAATATTGAAGTGTGTGTTTCTTACGGTGATATGATAGGTTGAATAGGGGAAAATAGGTAGCATAAAGGGTTGGGGATTTTAAGGATAAAAAATAGTATCACATGGTAGGGAGCAGTAGTGTGACTGGATCGAGTGTATATATAGAATGTCTGGATTGGTACCATTTGAGACAGCGCACATACCAAATTTCACGTTTGCCATATTGAAAGATGGAGTGAAGTTCTTTGTCTTAGAAAAGGTTTAGTGATGGTGATGCGTTGAATGAGGTCTGTGATTGGTATAATTACTTGTGGCAGCATAAGGGTAGTCCTCGTTTTCATTGCATTGTTGTGGCTGCGCTAATCCTCAAAGTTATGTTCATTTGACATCTTGGGAACAGCCACTTTATATGCGGTGAAAGAATAGCAAATCCCGTGTTTTAATAGTCAAGATTTCCTTGGGAATGATTTTCCGGTGGATCTAACATTCTACACGTGATATACAAATGAAGTTAGAGAAACGATCCTGTAGCTCATTTTCGCTTACCAGCTGCCATCTTAGGATTGGTGGATATCTTAACTATGTAATAAAATTTACCATTATGTGTAGTCAAATTATCCCTTCCATTGAATGATTTAGCCCTATTTTTTTTTTTAATCTTGCCTTCCTAATAGGCAATTTGGGATATGTTACGTGATTGGGTTATAAAACATGAACTGACAGTGCTGCGTCATTTGAAATTCTTGCTTCTAAGATGAGCATTTTCAGAAAACTTACACTGACCGAGGGAATATGATTAATATTTCTTTGACAAGTTCACCCTTTATTACGTTTGATTACGATCAATTCTTTCAAGGAGTAAAGGTATTTTTTTGTTGTGGGTAATTAAAATAAGCGATGCTTAACGTTCTGTTTTTGTACATACTATTGATTGAGTTTTCCTAACCATAGTGTTGGAATAAGCATACGGCAGATTAGGTGGTAGCAACATTTTCTGAAGGCATGCTATTTGCATCTTGAATTGTCGTCACTTACTTCCACAGAAGGGTCATTTTATTTCGGATATATTATCTGATTTTCTTGTATACCAATTTTAAAAAATTAGCATCTTTTTTATCAATCGACTCACTCTTGAATAAATTTTAAAAAATCCCATGCAGCATATTCTGACGATTTATCAACTCCGAAAAATGGAACGAAAGAGGAAAATCACAGTGGAAGCAAGGGTTCGACAGTAGCACTTATATGTTTGCTACTTGTGGCAGTGACAATATTATCATTCTTCCTTTTCAAAATTTGGCAAAAGAAAAAGCGTGAAGAGCAGTATGCTCGTTTATTGAAGTTGTTTGAGGAGGACGATGAGCTGGAGCTCGAGCTTGGTCTACGGGATTAAGCACGATTTTGCTTTTTGTATGTTAATGTTTCATTAAGGTGAGTGTCCTTTCGTATCTGTCTAGTTCTGCTAGTTGCTAAATATTTTCTTCTGCATTTTAATTGCGAATTTATTTCGAGCACCCTTTCACTATCACCTGGTCTGGTTGTGAGTTTTAATTTAAATTTGTAACCATTTTTTCCGTCTGCAGGCTTTTTGTGAAGATTTGAACGGCACTTTCTCGATTTGGTGTATTTGATATCGTACTCGTCGAAAAGTGGCTAGTATAGATACAAGTGTGTTGCGAAGATATAATCCCCCCATTGTAGGTACTGGTATATGTATTAGACTGATTTTTTTTTTTCCAGGGATTTGAATGTATTCTTTTTGTAGACCGGTGATGTTTACTTGTCCAAATCATTTGTCTAGAAAATTTGGAAATTAAATTGCAATTTGTGAGTGTATTTTTTTTCTTTACTTCGAATCCATAATATATATATATATATATATATATATATATATATATATATATATATATATATATATATATATATATATATATGTATATATAAATTTTACTCTCTTTTAAGATAATATTAACATTAAAAATAAGGTTAAATTACAACCAACCCCTGGAAGTATGGTCAAATTACGAAAACTCCCTCCTGTTTGGGTAATTACAACCACCCTTCAATTATAAATCTTCTTACACGTCCATCCTTGTTGTGTTAAATTTGGTGGATTTTTTTAGATTATACTAGTATTTCACCCGTGCGATGCACGGGGCATTGAGTTCTAACAAATATTTGATATTAAAAAAGTTCTTGAAATAGTAAGATGAATGGTTGATATGCAATACAAAGTATTAGAAAAATATTTAATAAAAAACTATTTCGTATGGTGTAAGGGATCAATTAAGCCAAAATAAGTGGAAAAGTTAACAATTGAAAGAATACGAATCAGCATGTCATCGGGAATTTCAATTCCAGTACTGTTTTTATATATCAATCCTAAGCATAATCCTCAATTTATTTTATACTACACCCAATAAAATACACCTGGTAGATCTTTATCATTTATATGCGCACAAACAAACAAACACATACA